TGTATTCATCCCCCCCCCCCTTCTACAAACTGTTTCTCTTCTTGTAGACCCTTACGGGACCAACAGATACGGCTGTGTCCGAGGAAAGTACAAATCGCGACTAAGTCTTTAACCGAGAACAAAATCCGGGTATGCCTGTTGACAGAAAAACCCCTAATCCGGACAAAGAGTGACACGATGAAGCCTAAGTTGGATGATCAATCAATAGATAAAGCCAAGTCTGGATAGGCTTATGAGAAATATAGTCTTAATACGGTTACAAAGCCAAGCGATTTATGCTATATCCGGTCACCAAGCCAAGTGATTTATGCTAAACCCGACTACCTTGATGACAGATTTAGAAACAGAAATTTTAACTAAGTCCTAAACTGTGTGAAGAGTGAACGATGAAGACCAAGTTCGGCTGACCCTTTGTACGATGAACCTTTAATCCGGTTAATCACTTGAACAAGACAAATCTAATCCGCAAAAGTCAAGTGAGTTGGCAATCCGGCTATCTAGTTAAGAAACAGGTTAAGTCTTAAATCGATCAAAATGCTAAGCGGTTTAGCTTAGTCCGCTCACTGTGTCAATCGACTTAAGGTAATCCGGTCAAACTAGGCGAGTTAGCAAACCGGCTATTTTACTAAGAATTTGGCTAAGTCTTAAACCGGTTACAATGCCAAGCGGTTTAGCTAAGCTCGCTCAAGATGACGAGCGATTTAGGCCAAGTCCGGTCAAAGCTTGTGCGAGGTAGCCTATAAATCGGATGGATGGTTGAACGATGTAAGGCTAATACGGATAAATGCTAAATCTTCCTAAACCTTGTGCGATATATCAAGAATCTGGTTACAACATGAGCGATTTATGAGAAATCCGGCTATTTTGAAGCGAAAAAGATCGTCTTAAATAGGATGCTACTTCAAGCGATGAATATGAATCCGATCAAAATAAGATAAACAACACAAAAAACAACTTTTCATACAAAAATGGATCAAAATCCAGAAATTTACAAAACTTTTCAAGAACACGAAGATTTTCTAAATTCACAAAAATCAACAAATCTTTTGAAAGAATGATTAAAATCTGAAAAATTTGTGAATAACAAATATTCACAAATCAATTACGCACACGATGATCATCATTTTAACATCAAAACATGAAAATTTGAAAGATTTACAAAAAAAATTGATGAGAAAATGAAGAACATTCTAAGAACATAAGATGAACAGAAGTGAAAATTTTCAGAAATTCTTCAAAGTTTGTGATTTCTTCACTTGATTTCACTGTATTCATGCTCTGATACCAATTGTTGTTCCACTTGAATCAATCTTCAATATTTTATTAAGAATCAATGTCAGAATAGTAGATATGAACAATAAGAACATATGAGAGAGATGAGAGGAAAAGTCAATTCCCAAATATTGGTCAAACTCTTATTACGTATATGAGATTTTACAAATGAGCTCTTACTTAAAATACAAAGAGTAACCCTTTATATAGGGTCAAAGATGTAAGACAAGAAAGTCAAAGTCAAATTTATAGAAAAGTCAAACACGATGACTTTTATAATTATAGACAAAATTTAACTTTCAAGACGAATACAATTTAACAATGATTTTCAGTCCTAACATAAGCTAATTTATATATATGAATTTTTGTAACAAGTTTTTTGAGGTTCATATATTGAAATGAAAAAAAAAATACACATAACAATAATACGTGAGTTAACTAAAACATGAAGTCTTTTAGCGATTATATATGGAGGAAAAGGGTCTTTTTTGTTTTTAATATAAATTAAACAATAAAATAAAATGATTTATATTAAGAATTTTTAATAAGATATTTAAATTTTGTATTATATGAAATGATTTATATATATATATATATATATATATATATATTGATTATTTAAATTACAAAAATGAAAAGTTTTAACGGTTAATGCGGTTAAAAATATTTCAAAATAAATAGAATATGAAAAATAAAAGTTTCAACAATTATTATGTTGAAAACATTTTAATGTAAAATAAAAATGAGAAAATAAAAGATAAATATGAAAGATGATTTCCATTAAACTTGGTTTCTTAAGATTCCATGAGGAATGGTTGTTGCCAGCCAAACTCTAAAGTAATTGCCAAAAACATACTATTGGTTCTATTGGGAAAAAACCTTACGAAAAATGTAGATTACATTAGTTAAAGAAACTCTAAAATCCCAACAAAATTAAGAAGAATTGCGTACTCGGATTAATCATCTCGAAGTAAACTTGAAAAAAAATATAACTATTAAAAAAGGACATGTTAAATTTGGTAAGGCTACATCAAATATTGTAACAAAAAAAAAAACTTTAAAATCTCAATAAAGATCAAAAGAAATGCATACATATATTAGTTTTCTCAAAGTATACTTGAAAAGAGATAACCACTAAAAAAACATGTTGAAGTTTGTTGATGCTACATCATAGTTTGTAGTACTTTCAAGATTCCATCATCGGACCATTATTGTCATAACATTCCATCATCGACCATTGTTGTCATCAAAACTCTAATCAAGAACAAGCTCTCGGTTTCGTTGAGGAAACTTAAGAAAATTATAGAAGAGAAACGTAAAAAGACAAAATTCTAAAATCTCAAGAAAAATAAAAAGGAATGCATACATGAATTAGTCTTCTCGAATGAACTTGAAAATAGATTTGTTGAAAAAGAATAAAATTTATGAAATGAAAAACAACCAAGTGATGGAGATGGAGAAAAAAAGATTTAATAATAACAATTCATAAAGAAGAGCTAGGAAAAATGAAAGGATTGTGTTAAATGCAAACATAAATGAATAATCAATGTTTATAGAAATTAGTTTGAAAATTAGAAAAAAAAAAGGATTAAAAGAAGGATAAATGAGAAAAAAGATAAATAGGTTTCTAACATTTAGGAGAAGTCAAGTCATCAATCTTGGTTTTTCCTTGGTGGGAATATTTTTAAGAACATAATCAATTGTTTCTTAATAACAATTTATGCCAAAACTAAATCAAGAGGAAGAGATTGAGAAATAAAAAGATAAAGAGTTGGAGAAGATAAATCAATTGCAATAAAGAATAAAAGAAGTGTCTATCAAGAAGTTAAATAATCTAAGAGATTAAACTTAAGTTGAATGCTTATCAAGAAGCAGGGCCGGCCCTGGCCACGTGCAGCCCGTGCGGTCGCACAGGGCATCAAAGCCTAAAGGGGCATCAAATTGCCATTTATTACTAGTTTTGGGTTTAATAATTTGGTAATTGAGCAACTGAGCTTTAACTATAAAAATAGGCCCAAGGCCTAGTAGTGATGAATACTGAATGCACATCGTTGGAAAAAGTTGGAAAGTTGGAAAAGTTTTTGTTTGTATGAATTAATTTGTTTGTATAAGTTGGAAAAGTTTTTGTTTGAGAGAGTTTTTTCACAAACGTAAGGAGTGTTTTTTTAGTTGAAAGGGACATGTTTGGAATTTTTTTTTGGCTTTCTATATAAAGCTCCTCCCAAAAGCTTATTGGACAAGTCACTTTCTATATCATTAAGCCACTACGAAACAGTCATGCATAGTTGAGCGAATAAGCTGTTAGATCCATTAAACTTATTAAGTTGCTAACAGATAGGCCCTTAGCCTTTAGTCATTAGACCTGCAATTTTTGAGTTTTTTACTTTTTGCATATTATGACAATAACTTGGATGCAATTTACTATCTTAGTTAAAAACTAATTATGGTTTTTCTTATCTTTTAAGTCCCATATATTGAAATAAAATTTTTATTTTGCTAATTTTAATTTGGAAAAAGTAAAACTGGAAAAAAAGGAAGCATGATCTTAATCCATGATTTATCATTTATATTTTGTATTCGGGGTTTTGGTTTTTATGTTCTTCTCATTGTATTTTTTTTATTATTATAATTAATAAAAATCAACATGAGGATGAGATACTTTGTTTGAATAGGTTCTAAATTCTTTAAAAAATCGCATGTTTCGTTGTTTCATTGACTTAAAAAATAGGGTTAGGGGCATATTTTATTATTTTCGCACAGGGCAT